CCTCCCTAATTCTTCTCTTCTGCAGACTAAAAACAATCCCAGTTCCCTCAGCCTCTCCTTGTAAGTCATGTGCTCCAGCCCCTAATCATTTTTGTTGCCCTCTGCTGGACTCTTTCCAATTTTTCCACATCGTTCTTGTAGTGTGGGGCCCAAAACTGGACACAGTACTCCAGATGAGGCCTCCCCAGTGCCGAATAGAGGGGAATGATCATGTCCCTCAATCTGCTGGCAATGCCCCTACTTATACAGCCCAAAATGCCATTAGCCTTCTTGCCAACAAGGGCACACTGTTGACTCATATCCAGATTCTCATCCACTGTTACCCCTAGCTCCTTTTCTGCAGAACTACTTTCTAGCCATTTGGTCCCTAGTCTGTAACAGTGAATGGGATTCTTCCATCCTAAGTGCAGGACTCTGCACTTGTCCTTGTTGAACCTCATTAGGTTTATTTTGGTCCAATCCTCTAATTTGTCTAGGTCCCTCTGTATCCTATCCTTACCCTCCAGCGTATCTACCACTCCCCCAGTTTAGTGTCATCTGCAAACTTGCTGAGAGTGCAGTCCATGCCATCCTTCAGATCATTAATGAAGATATTGAACAAAACCGGCCCCAGGACCGACCCTTGGGGCACTCTGCTTGATACCGGCTGCCAACTAGACATGGAGCCCTTGATTACCTGACTCCTGGAGCTGGATCTTTAAGAAGGACCAAATATTGCAAAACTGGCAATAAAATCACAAGAGCTGGCAACTCGAAGGAAGGGGAGTTGATTGGGGAATAAGGAAGGGATTGGAAATGAAGAGGAAAAGAAGTAGTCCAGTATCAGCAATGTGGCTCTCTTGGCAAGGGTTATGTCTGAGGATGGGGACAGCAACAGAGGCTGTCAGTAGAGGAAAGCTGGGTCTTGGAGACTGAGGAAGTGTAGTGAGTGGGAAAACAGAGGTCGTGAACTGCAGTGAGGAGGGAAGGGACAAGGCAAATAATGAGGATATGCTATGAGGGAGAAAAAGGCAGAACATAGAGGTAGGTGGGAAGTGCCTGTGTATGTAGATGTGGCTTAATCTGGGGCATATGTTGCCAGAAGTGAGGAAGAAGAAAGGGATGGAGGTAAAATGAGAATTAGATTCAGGAAAGGAGCTGCTGTTGAGCTGGTTGAGAGAGCAGAAGGGAGCGTTTATACGTGAAACATACCTGCAAAACATTAGTCAAATATGACGTATTTTAAAACAAGATCTTGAAAGCTAGTTCTGGGAGCATATTTCAAAACTCCCATAAATACATCACAATGATATACAGAGACATATAAAAAGAAATATATTATTGGACATTGCATTGAAAATATATCGTAAATATGTTTTTAGTTAGAATATATTTCCTTAGTTTCTTAGTGCACATAATTCTCACAATGCAATAGAATAAAACTTTTGTTTTACAGCATGTCAGGCACTAGATGGAAGGTGGGTACTTTTTTTTGCATTCAGTCTGGCCTTGAAATAAAGAGAGGGTCATTTAATATTGGCTTACATTTTCAAACTGTCTTTAAAAATTATGGTTCCTCTTCCTCTTCTACACATACACTATTTTCACTTAACTTTCATTCCATTCAAGACCTCCTCTCTCCCAAATAAACACACTGCTCCTGAGGGCATGCATTTAGCCATTTGGTCTCCGGGAAGATTGGCTATTTCCTTATTTCTCTTGAACAAATATGTTGCAAGGGAAATAGAATGGAAGTGAGTACATGGTTGTTGTTTTTTTTAAATAATGCATATCCAAGTGAAACACATTGGAAGAAAAGATTAATCATTGTTGTCTGCCAATGTCTCCGTTCACTGTACATGAAGAGAAGATACATAATATTAAATAAACCTCTTTGTACAACAAATATTTTATTCTTTGAGCTAGATCATGCACAGTGTTGAGCACTCTCACCTCCCCAGCAAGATCCTTAAGCACAGGCTTAACTATAAGCAGGATTAATCCTATTGACTGGAATGCAGCTGCACAGGTGTTTAAAGTTAAATGTTTTGCTGGATAGGAACCAGATTGCTCAGCACTTTGCAGGATCAACCCCTAAATGTATAAATGTGTGGTATTGTTAAGCCAGGATGGTTCTGGCATGTGCCTGGGCCGCCTTAAGCGTAAGTCAGACCAGCTATGCTATGTGTTTGTGCCTGCATACGTTCAGTATGGCTGACTAGCTGTTTCTCCTAATAATTCCACACAATTGTAGCTAACAATATTGGGTCAGAGTGGTTCACAGAGAGGCAGTTTCAGATTATTTATTACAGTTGCAGATAAGTCTTTTCTGTCTAGGTGTACTAATGTAGCATCAGATATGTTAGAAACTGCAGAATGCTGCTGGAAATATGGAAGGGATTGATCCTTTATGACTAAGCACCACAATAGTACTTATGTATTATAAGTGCTGTTTAAATGCCAAGATACCGTTCTGTGTATGTAGATATAATATAAATATTATACATTTTAATACAGGTATGACTTTTTTTTTCCTACAGTGCATATTGTAAACATGTAATTTTGATATACCTTAAAGACATGAGATTTTTCCATGCTTCATTTCTTTGAGGTTGGTTATCCTCTGCCTGTCATTGAGCTGATGGCATAAACAGAAAACATAGGTAAGCCAAATAATCACCTCATTCAGAGAATCACTGCCAAGTGTAAGTTCTCCCAGGTAAAGTTAGCAAGCTTCAAATTATGAAACAATTAGTGAGTGATAGTCACTGGGGAATTGGAGAGCTGTAAAGAGAAAATGTTTATAATCAATAAATTTGTATTGACTTTAGCGAGCTTTGGATCAAGCCCCAAACAGCTTCCTCTTTGCTTTTTAATCTTTTGTAATCTGAAATATCACTGCTTTGTTCTTCTTTGAACTTCAGCAAAAGGATGCTTCTCCATCTGAGCTCCAATAACTTTAGTGTCAAGCAACGTTATCCTCAAATTATTCCAAATATTGAAAAAAATGACAGTTTTTTTAATTATCTTGTACCAGGCTTAAAGGCTAATTATTTGCATATTAGACACACAAACACTTGCATGCTTATGTTATTTAACAGATCCTGTAATTAAGTTCTTTGTGAAAAAGCTAATTACAGTCTATGAAAGTAGTGGAGTACATGTGAACATCATATCCGATTCTTTTGATGGAACACTTTTAGATGCTTTTATGAGTTTTTCATATGACTTAAAACATGGTTTATTTCTAGACAATTTGATTTTAGTTAGTATGGCACATAGAAGTAGACAAATATTTATTACGATACATGTAAATGTAAATCTTCTGCCCTGAATACAAGTAAAAGGTGTTTTCATAAAACCAGTTTTCACTATGCCTCTTCGGATTTAATGTGCCAAGGATGATGTATTATTGGCATGCTGTGTCCTTGGCCTGCAATTTCCATTTCCTACCAGTCCTGCTTAGTGCACTGTGGATTCTGTGCTGAAAGAAAATAGAATCCACTTGGGTAAGATCTGAAAATGTTCAGGCCATAAGAGTTGTAATTTTATCTGAAATCTAAGGTTTTCAACTAGACTTCATATTTCTGTCATTGGGATGTGGGCCATTTGCTGAACAATGCCGTTTCCTGTACCTGAATGTTAGAGAATGTAAATTGCTATTCATTCTGCCTTGATATTTAATACCATTTGAAAATCAAAACAATAATATTGTTTCAATAACTACATGCAATTTCAGTGAGTCTGATTTACATTTGTGGTTTACTATATCATTTAGACTTACACAAATGCTAAATGAGTCCCCATCCATATACTTTTGGTGGTCTTGTCATAACTCAAAAATATAATACAAGAATATCTTAAACATGTAGCAGTACAAGTCATATAACCAGCAAGTCGGGCAACTTGAAAAGCTAATTTCCCTGTGTAACATGACGGGTGCAGAGCAGAAATATCTCAGAACTTCCCCAATGCAGGGTTGATGAAAGGACCTGGATTCTGTGAGGCAGAGGACTAGGCAGAATGGTCATGTTGGGACACCAGCATCCATTGTTAGCCAATCCTAGCCCTATGGGCTGCTTTCATTCTTCTCATGATTGACCTCTACATTGACCTCCAAGCTGAGCATCCTGCTGTATGCTCCCTTAATTCCAGCTGCAATTTTTGGAAAATATTTTTCTAAACTAGACTCTTCTGAATGAGAACTTTGGCCTGTAAAAGTGAGAAAAGAAGCAGAGTGGAAATTTATGACCTGAGGGTGAGGTTGCATGGAATGTCAACACGTGACAGAAGAAATAATACTGGCATGCCTACTCTCCACTCACTTGTTTTCAAGACACTAAAGATATCAAGGCATGTTCCAGTGTCAATGATCCACCAATGCTGCTTGTGGTGTATCATCCCAATTTTGTTCTATTCTCCACCCAAGAAATGGTGACACTTCACTGTGGTTGTGTGTGTATATAGTGTAGTTGTTAGGTGCTTTGATGCTATTGTATAATCTCAAGCATCTCTCATGTGGATGTTGTAAACTGGATTGTAATTGGCAATTGAGAGTTCTGGTTGTAAGATAAACGACAATATAAATTAGTGCTATGTCTTAGTCATTATTACATAAAACTGTAGTATACAGTATTATACTAATGCTAATACTGTACAGAGACCAAGGAAATGCCTTTGAACACCCATGAAATGTGACATTCAATGTCTTCAGTTGAGAGATGCATGAATACAGTCTTTCAGCTAAGCTGAATATCAGTTTGATTTGTGCTGTACGTTGACCCACTCTTCCTATTAACTCAGCTTAAGCAGTCTGGTGGGAAAATTAAAGTTTAAATACTTAAAAGGGATTTGAACTTTCAGAAAATGAGCACACTGACTAGTCAATCAGATGTTTTCTACGGTTAGGGTTTTTTTGTTTGTTTGTTTTCCAACACTGCGTTTAAAACAACACTGTCTTGAACAGTTAAACCCTTTTCCTAACGATGGATAACCTGTTCAAGGAAGTGATCCAATGTCTTCTCCAAAACTGTTTCCTCGCCATTCTTGCTCTTCTATGCTTCTCATAAGAATGCACTATGCAGCGATATTAAAAAGGCAAGAGGTACAGAAACAGATCCATTGGAAAGCATACCTGAGCCATTTAAATAAATACCGTGAAAGACTCTCAAAAAAAGGAAGAAGACATCTAACAGTCTTATTCTACCACCCATGGTCACTCTGACTACTTACTCTGGAAAAAGTCCTGTTGAGTTTAATGGGACTACTCATGTAAGCATATGCCACCTAGCATAGGTAGACTAAGTACAAGCAGGAAGAAGTGTCACTGAGAGTCATGGGATAACAATCCTGTGTCCATGAAAACACCCAGATGGTATGATGAGTGCCTCGGAAATAAAATAAATATATCAAGTATTATATGTCCGCTGCAAATTCCATTTCTACTTCCAGAGCAAATATCCCTTCAGTCTGTACTTAATATCTCTAATGCATGTTCTATGTGTGTGACGTTGCACTCCATAATGCTTTATGGGAATATGCTTATGAATGTATATATAACATAACTGGAATATGTTTTATGCCACATATGCCATGTAACATATCTCTGTATCTTATGATCTACTGAATATATTCATTCTATTTGTATGCATGTATGATTTTTGTATTCCAAATTATGAATATTGGCTATGTACTTGTTTAATTTTAAGTAGCCTCAGTGAAGCAGTTGGTCAGCTTCCTGAGAAAAGACTTCCTCAGTAAGTGCCCAATCAAGAAACACTTAAGCTAACAATTAACTTGGAGATGCCAATCCACATCTGAACTTTCCCAGGAATGTGGCCTGGCTGGTAAGGAACTCAGTCATGCATGGACATGTGACTTGCCCATGTGACTCCAAAACTCCATCTTGGAGCTGGATTTTGGATAGGAAAGAGGAGGGGGTCTCCACCCACAGAAAGACTATTTAAGCCCCTGGGACACCCCTTCATTTTGTCTTCAGCTGGCTGAAGAGATAGCCTCTCCACCCCCAAAGGATACCTGAAAGAAACTGGAACAAAGGACAGTAACCACAGGGGTGTGAGTGATTGCTGGACTCAGACTAGAAGAAGGCTAGTCTGTAAAAGAAGCTTACTGGAAGATCAATGAAGGTGAGATTGCATCTGTAATCACTTTCTTACTGTATTAGGTTTAGACTTGCGTGTTTTGTTTTATTTTGCTTCATAATTCACTTTGTTCTGTCTGTTATTACCTGGAACCATTTAAATCCTACTTTTTGTATTTAAGAAAATCACTTTTTACTTATTAATTAACCCAGAGTATATATTAATACCTGGGGGTACAAACAGCTGTGCATATCTCTCTCTCAGTGTTATAGAGGGCGAACAACTTATGAGTTTACCCTGTATAAGCTTTATACAGGGTAAAGTGGATTTATTTGGGGTTTGGACCCCATTGGGAGCTTGGCATCTGGGTGTTGGAGACAGGAACACTTCTTAAGCTGTTTTCAGTTAAACCTGCAGCTTTTAGAGGATGTAGTTCAGACCTGGGTCTGTGTTTGTGGCAGGCAAGCGTGTCTGGCTCAAACCAGGCAGGGCACTGAAGTCCTAAGCTGGCAGGGAAAACAGACTCAGAGGTAGTCAAAGCACATCAGGTGGCAGTCCCAAAGGGGGTTTCTGTGATCCAACCCATCACAATGTGCATTCCACATTCAGAGCTCCAGCTGATAGTGATGCAAGTTATGTGTGGGGCACTGGGACAGAATACACAATGGATTTCAGTATTATAGATTTGAATGAAAGGCTTTATCCTTTTCGAAGGCACCCTTTTTCTACAAGTAGCTTCTGAGATGCTCATAACAATAAAAAGGATGAAAGTTAATGTGGGTAGTGAAGTGGCATGACATGGGAGAAGACTGAGCATTTATCATTAGTAAAGGAAGTGAGCATTGTAGGGGGTATTTAAATGGACTCGAGTGCCCTTTAAGAGGCTAGTAAATCTTTCTAACACTAGGCTGGCTGATTTAATCTCTTAGCTACTTATAAAAAGTGTCCATGGTGGTATCAGCAAAAGTGATGTAGAAGGATTGCATAATGGATACTTTGATTCTTTCTCAAGAAACCCCAATACATTTAAGTAGATTGTGTGGTTTTCATTAAAAGACCTAGTTATTTGACATTTAATAAGGCGTAAGAGTTGTCATTTCTCAAGTGGGTCATGGGTTCTCTTTTTCTAAAAATGTGGTGCTTGGTTTTGCATTACAATCTTATGATAAAAATGAGCAGATAATACCTGAGTGGCATAATCCCAGACCAAATGAGTAAGTATTAATCATTTACCATAGCTCACATCTTTAGTCCTGTAATACTGCCGTCAGGGTTTCCCAGGTTAGTTCTTTTTTTCTATTGTACAATTAATCTTTTTTTGTGGAGGGAAATGACTTCTCTTGTTGAATTTTAAAGAAAAGGCACTGTGGGAGTGTACAAATGCCACACCAGGAGGCAAGAGCTGCAGCTGTGGGCTCAGGCAGTCCTGCCTGCTGCACCTGCAAAGCATGCCAATCTTGAAGGAGGAGCCTTTAAAAGGGAGAAGCTCAGTTTAAAAAGCCCCAGACAGGAGGTGGACAAACCTCTCCTCCTCAGC